TTCGCCGAGCTGTGAGCTTCAGCAGGAGTACGCGTATCGAAAACATTTCTCTATCATTATGTTTGACGGCAAATGTACGGGGAAATCTATGATATGTAATATACGGCTAATAGGTGCATAGAATTTCCGGGAACACTTTCATTCACCCTCCGCCACGCCACCTCCTACAATCCCCAGCCCCCGAAATTCAACCACTACAAATTTTATTCCGAAAATGATGAGGAGCCTCTGAAATGTCAAAAAATGTTTTTCGTTTTTCGCGCCGCCACTGGAGCGACTTTCAAAAGCTACAAAGTTTTTTCATCCTTGGCATGGTGCGAAAATTTCATCCAAATCTGAAAATTTTCGCGATTACAATACTTCCTCGCCCAGTGACGTAGGAAGTAAGAATTATAGGTAGAGCGATCAAAATTCATGACAATTCAAAATTTGCTTTTTGTCATTTTTCAACAGAAACACTGGATCAGGTGACGTGACTTCTGAGAGTTATTGCCGTCCCAGATCCATCGCCCTTAATCTGGTCCTGACTAAAAAAATATGTTCATAGAAAATGGAAAATTAGCATTAGTGGTTAATTTTTGTTTTGGATAAAGTTCGCTTGATAAAAAATACGTATCGGTTACGTATATCACATTTCAGTATTGGTGGGAGCAATATTATTGTAGTGTGACCAGTGTTTTCGGAAACAATCCCAGCAGCTGCCATAGTGGAATGCATGCACACATAGATGATATCGCCCAAAAGGAGAATCACATATTCTCATCGTACATCGAATGGATCGGCCGATGAATTTTAATAAAGGACGAACAACGCAGCGCTATAAAAATACCATAAAAAGGAGGTGTTGCCACATTCATTCTTAGGTTCCTAGGACTTTTGATTTCGCTTCTTTTGGCCAAACCGTTGTATTTGAAAGCAGTTGGACATGGGTACGTTTCTTCGGTACTAACCGAGGATAAGGTGAAGTTGTATAGATATAATTCATTCGAATTAAATGTATTGAGATGCAAGGGTGCAAAGGATTTTTCTAAAAAGTTATTGGTACGTATATAGAAAATAGTTTCAGCAATTACTAGGACCAGAATCTGGTGGAGTAAGTAAAGCTTAAATTAATAGTTCATGGGAAGCAGCTAAGTGGAGCCAAAGCTGTTGCTGAAAAAGGAATAAATAAAGATGTCCTGAGACACCATTTTTGATGGTTTACGAAACTATTTATCGGTTTCCAAAAATACATGGAGATACAAAGTATCGATGCGAAGGGAGGAGTAGCGTGTATAAATTGAATTGATTAGGAATTACCTATTTGAGACCTCTTATTTTTTACCCCTGGTTCGTTTCAAAAGGAGTACGAATTGAAATAATCGATTCCAATCATCTGGATTTTGATGGTTCATATTCATAGTCTAATTCTGATACCGGTGACTTTGACTCCGAACCCTGGAACGGGGTTGAACCGTTGCGATTCGAACGCTTAGAACCAGGTTAAGTTTGAACGAACTGTATGAAAAGAACGATACCGGTAGGATTCCGAACGTCACAAATCTGAATCCACTGGTTGTGACTAATCCTACTTACACACAGTTTCCAATGGGGCATCGGAAACTGTATAAAAGCATCACTAATCGACTTGCGGGGGGGGGGGAGACGTAAGGTAATACTCCTCAACAATCCTTCCAAAGGCAAAGTGTACCCCTAACTCTAGGTAGTAGATTGCCCTTCATCGTCGATCTCAAAAGCAGTATCCGAATTCTAGCAGAAGCGTTTAAAGTCAAACTGGCGGACTTTCGTATGTTACGGTATCAAAACCATCAAATTCGTGGTCAGGAATCAAAAACATCGGGTTCGTTTCCAACCGAGGTGTCATTCCTTTGTAGCACTTATTGACACCGATGGTATGTTTTGGAATTGCCGAAATCGGAATCAAAAGGAACTGGAATTAAATGGAATCGTGACGAAGGGAATCGAAACATAGTATCAAATCACTAACATGAATCATTTTCACACAGATTTCGCATTTCAACAATCCACCAAGTTAAGATTAGGTTCGAGTGGCAACACTGCTCGCGGGTACTACTGCCTTTGGTGGATGGATCAAGCGGCCAAAACTGGCTGTCCTTGAACGTCGAAGCGGCACCGAATTTCCGTGGGCCCTGTGGCCCTCTTCCCCTCCACCTCTTCCATCATGCTAGAGGTCTCTAACCACTGACCAACGCTAATTAAATGGGAAGGGCTAGATTAACTGCCAGTGATGTGGATCTACCACTATAGAAACAATCAAGCGGAGATTCACGCTCCATTTGTAAAAGACGGTATAGCAGTCGTAAAAATTTTCAAAATTGTATATTTGACTGCGGCAACAGTTTAACTCCTATATTATTGAATCGTCAAGGTTATCACATAAAACTCGGCCATTGTAAGAGAAAAAGTTCCTACTGTCTAGAGTTGTTTCGTTTCTGTTATACGGGAGGCTGTTTTTTCATGAAAAAAGTACGCCAATTACTTTTTTGTGGTTTGTATATATATATTTTTTTTTAGATTAGGCAACCAAAAATTCAAATTTTGGGTGTATTGTTTTCTCTTTATATCTAGCTTCGTTTTCGAGAAAATAATTCGATAGTGAATGTTTACTTTCATAGAAAACAAGATATGACGGAAACACAGGAGACCAAAAAGTTGCATTTCTATATGTTTGATTCAAGAAAAAATATAAAACCTACAAAATAGTCATTGGCGTACATTTTTTCTCCATAATGTGGCAGTGGTATCCACTGAAACGCCTCTTGACCTGATAATTTCAATAATTTCAATGTAGTTAGAGCTGAATATGCTTCCTTATTACTTCAAGTAATCGCACCAAATTTCAACCAAATCGGTTTAACGATATTTCATAAATAATGTTTATTTTTTTAAACTTCTATGTCCTGTATCTTTGAAACTTAGCAACTTCTGATATATGCTCATAGGCTTTTTTTCTTTTTTTTATACCGTAGTATAGTCGTTCTTTGAGACATTTCATCGTGAAGACATATGTACACTTGGCATTGATATGAAAGTTGCCGAATATGAAAGAAGGCGGTCTAATTCAATCAGAGGCCGTCTATTACCTCTGGTTGTCAATAATTAATTTGATGCTGGAGGCAGAATGTGTTTTTATTGTCGAGGGGTACGTCCTTAAGATGGCGATGCTCAAATAAAAGATGGCGGACAGAAATGAGTTGATTTGATTTTATATTTCCATCTTCACACATAACATCGATTTATAATTTTTTCTCGAAATTTACGTACCTCTAGTTATAATAATTATCAAAAAAGAGCTAGATATCTCTTCAGCCTGTGACAAACACTGCCGTGCTAACCAGAGAGGAGGCATGTGTAGTGAACCTGAAACTAAGAAAGAGCAGTCCAAAGCTTGAACATCTGATTCATTTGTGCAGATACGTCAAACAAAAATGTAGAAAATGACATTCATTCAATTATTGTAGTGCGAACATACACTATGTATAAATGTTATTAGAAGCTGTTGGCAAATGTTAGGTAGTGCCAGTAATATAGCACACCGGAAATGCCTGCAACTATCTTGCAATATTTCCTACTCGAAAAATCGTTTTCAAAATTTCATTACATTTCATGAACGGCTAAATGGAGCCTTGCTTTTAAAATTGTACTATTTATTTTATACTTTTCAGAATCTATGATGTCTAATAACTAGTTTGTTATGTTCTATATAACTTTAATATATTTTATTATTGGAACTCCATAAAACCTTACCTTATTTGTATTATAAAATTTCGGTAGACAGTCACATAATGATAAATTGATATTATTGTCTCTCATCAAGCTCTTTCATTTGATACCCATATTATAGGGGTAGTTACCATAAAAATGATGAATCGCCATTTTTTAGCTTCCACCATATTGGATTCAAAATAGCGCTAGTCAACTCATTTTGTGCTGTTATTTGAACCAAACAAAGTTTCACTTTTGATTAAGGTTAACTGGTACAGAATTCACTTCCAAGATTTATAAACATACTAACTAACAGGTCAAGTCGAAAATAAAAATAAAAGGCTTTGAAAATAGAACGTTCCATGATCTGCTTCTAATATAATTACGCCAATGACATACCAGTGGTAAGGAGTGTTTTAAGTACATAAATGCTTTCCAAATAGTCCAAAAAAAACTAAACTGTTCCTGTGCCGCAACAAATCGTGCGTGTATCGTAATGGAAACGTTGGAGCTATTTACAGAAAGTAAAGTAGTACAGTTGGTACAAATAATGTCATATTGATGAGCGGGTGGGCAATTTGGTGGCGGTGGTGGACATATATCGATCTCATTACAGGCAAAAATGGCGCGCACATTGCGTGTCGCGAGTAGCACAGTGAAGGATGGGGGGGTGAGGGGGGTGGCAGAGGACATAATTTGAGATATAGCATAAACATTACAATTACACCGGACATCGAGCCACGTGGAAAAGCGGATCCAACGCATTGGTGGTGGTTGGTGTAAGGGTATATTTGTACGAAGACATCCTTTGTACAGGGCAGGCTATATTTCATTAACACATGAAACCAATCTTTTGAACAATTTTAATAAATGGCTGTGCGTCCGTTATGTTTGCTATGAAAAACATGACTTTTGCTTCTCACCCCAGTATACGAATAAGTGCAATCATGGGAGATTTTGAAATCGAGATAAATCTAACGCACAACATGACCAATACCGGCTAAAATAGAAAAAAGTGGCCAAATTTCAAGAGTAAGAAGTACTTCAAAAGTGTGTGTCACACACGTTTGTGCCTAGGTTCAAAAATACTTATTCCATCAGCTGCAATAGCAAAGAATATAACATCAGCAAAATTTCCGAAACAACGGATTATTGCTTCAGCAGCTTTGTGGATGTGCTAGTAAAAGTAGTCTTAAGACTAATTTGGACTACACAATTTCTTGTGCAAGATTTGGTTCAATTTCTTGTTCAAGATATATTGTGTGGTATCATACATCAAATTGGTTGAAAAGCTTAAATTGAACAATAAATTGTTTGGAGTATTCTTCAGTACTACTGGAGACCTAAAAAATATATAATAGTTATGTGAAGATACATGATGCTCCCATGTGGGCATGCTACCTTTATGTATGTTTTCATTAAATTTGAAATTATTGGTTCATACACCTCTGGCACAATGAGACTTATGGTACTTTCATGTATGCTGGTAACAAACCTCAGATCTCTAAACGACTTACCACTAGCTAAATATCACAGTGACACAGCCAACCTAGAAGCAAAGCCATCACATTTGTTTTTTCACAGTACACAATGCGGATAATATCACCTATTTTCTGCTGTTATACATTCTCTTAAGTGTGTATCTTGCTTTGCAATATCAGGTAGATTCATACGCAGCAATTCATTAAAACATTCATTGTATATTCTCAAAAAGTTTTTATATATGTTTGGATCATCAAGCAATATTTCTTCTCTCAACATGTTCAACTTTCCGCGGCCTTCGTCTCTTTTCAGCCACATCTCTTATGAATTTTTTCGTGTATGTATTTGCAAGTCTCTTAATTCGTCCGTCCACCACTTTCTGTGCAATATTTCTTTCCAGCTACATAGTGCAGACCAGCGGATAATGTACCCAGTTATAACACAAAGTTAAAGAAATCAATATTATTTTTGTAGACTCAAAAACGTCTTTTGTATTTAATTTTTGGCAATTCGGTGACACTGTGAGTGACTTTGACATTTACAGATTGATTCTTGACAGGCAGAATAATGCGCAGAATCCCCATCTATTTCTTGAACAATAAATGGTTTGAATGTAAAACAGCATTTAAGACAGGAAACAATTTTTCGTTCAAGATCTTGTTAAAGAAATTGAACCAAATCTTGTACAAGAAATTGTGTAATCTAACACAGGTTCCAAAACATTTTATATGCTATGCTGATACATCTCCACCGTATAACCCTCAAATGAAGTTTTTACGCCTCCAACAAATCTCCAAGAATTAGATGAAGTGTAGTTGAAGATTTCTTGATATGGTTGGCTAAATTAGTAAAGCCCGAGTGAGTATTTTTCGAAATTTTGTTTCACATTCACGATTTTCTGTGAACGAAGGAGTGGTTGTAGTAGCCAGTTCACAAAGTACACACCTCAGTCGAGTTAGAATGCAAATCGAAAGCCTGGCATGTCCGTCTAGTAAGGCTTGAATGCGGAGGCGTGGTGTCTCAGTGAATCTGTCCAAATTTTCTTGTATATGCATACCATAGCAAGCGTTTGTGGTATGACTGTGTGTCGCTGCCTTGAGACGGTTCTGTGTGTCCAAAGCACGCTCCTGTCTCAATCTGAAACATTTATTGCACCAAATTGGTATCAAAAACGGGACGTTTGGTTCCAATCGGCTTATTAATAATTTCAACCTTGCCCTCTTTACAAACGAGCTCCACTTCCAACGTAATGTATAATTTTTGCCGGCAATCCATGAAAAATGCACACCTGTCCGAATTTTGGGTAACATGTTGTGGAGTTCTCATGCTACGGTGTAAGGTGGGGGACTTGGCCAAAGAAAATGTGCTAGTTTCGATTTTTGGTAAATTATTCATCAAGAAAGCGATAAGTAGCAGGGGGATAGGGTGATTCATGCGAAATTCATGTACGAAAGAACCACAGACCTCGCCACATGGTCTGCTGGCATCAAGCTCCAAATTACGCAGGCAAACCCCCTTAGCCAGAAGCCAGAGCATGCCTTTCCAAGATATCTTAGCTTAAAAGTACAAAAATAGCAATTTTTGACTAAATTTGAAGTTGTGCAGCATGGCGAATTTTTTCTTTTTCAAAAAATCATAGACATCATCACAAAGTTCAAGCCATGTCTTTTAAAATGCCGTTGGTCTTTTGTACTGAGATGTTTCCTGAACTTCACTATATTTAATACTCCAAACGTTACGATTACGTGGGCCAAAAATTTAATATGTAATAAGGTACTATATTTTTTTGAGATAAGACCTGCCCATAAATCCTAAAACAATAAAATAACTTACTATATCTATCCAAGTCTTTTAAATGGCGGGGTTCAAAAAAAAATGTGATTAAAAGTTAAAACGGTAAATAACCTAGACAAGTTCGTTCTTAATCAGAAGAAAATAGTTAATAATTTAAAAATGTTTGCCATTGAAAGTAAGGACCTAAAATTCTATCTAGATAGGGTAAAATGTGTTGAGGGCTTATGGTGTGGGTAAGTTCTGGATATCGCAGCCTTTATCAGGCAAAAGTAGCTGTTTTGTTTAGAAAAAGTAGCGTGAAGTAAGTTGAGTCTGTATTTTTCTCGCAACGCTGTCATCAGTTCGTAAATCATTATGTTCGGCACAAGTTAGTCTCCTTCAACTAGCTACAAACATGTATGACAAAAAGTTAATATACTCCATAGTCCTCATCCACTTGAAACGCTAGCGCTAATTACTTTCCATTTGGCAACGCTGCTGGACCATACCACTCAAAAGTCATGAGCGCCAACCAGGATACTATAATATCCCTGCCGGCAATGCTGTCAGATGCAAGGCAGGCTTCGGCGTATGAAAATCGCCGTTGCATCGCATCGTTCCGACCGACCGCGTGTCTTGTCTATAAATATTCTTGTGAGAAGAAAAGATAGCTTAGAACATGTATAACAAACAATTAAATCCCGGTCCCCTGAAAGAAATTCCTGTGGGCTCACACGATCGTTGCACGTGGATGACGATATTGACTTTTACAGCCCACAACACGGAAGCTTTAAGCGTAAACGGTCAAAGGAATAAAGCGCTGTCAGGTGACTAACGGGTTCAAGTTGCCTAACGTCCAATAATCGCCAAAGGCACACTTGCAACTCACGATTTTAGAAGTTTGATACCGAAGTGCCCAAGCAATCATTCAAAGCTGGAGCGTTAAGTGTTGAAGTCCTAGAGTGGCATCTGCAATGATCTAGGAATGTCAACAAGCACTAAACATACTAGCGGAACACAACAAAGTAACTATGATTTGGGTGCCAGGGCCTATCAGGTAACGCAGGAAATGAAAGGGCGGATAAGCTCGCAAGGAAAGGATCTTTCACACCCTACATAGACCCAGAACCCCCGTTGGGGGTGAAAAAAGCATAATAAGGAACCAAGTCAAATAATGGGTAAGAAATCAGTGCAAGCATCAGTAGCACTTAGTGACTGGATGGAGGCATGAGCAAGAATTCATCTCAGGGCCATGTCCAAACAACACTGCGGAACTGCTCTCAATGAGTAGAAACTCCTTGCTGTTATAGGGCTTCTAACAGGACAGGATGGCATGAAAGAACACCTGAGCAAAATAGGGCTGTACTATGGAGACCTTAGCTGCAGATAATACGGAAAAGGAACAGAATCTGAAAGATATGAGTGCGAGGCGCTGGATCACAAAACGCACCAACTTTTCGGGAATCCAAAACTAGAACCGAAGGAGCTCAGCATAGTACCAGTAGGAAAACTGTACCACTTGGTTCAGAACACTAGACGGCTGGAGTGGGTACTGAAAGCTGGATGAGCACTAAGCCCTATAAGTTGCAGTGTCATCGAGGACGGGTAAATATTCGATGACATCTACGTTGACTGAAATATATCTAATGCGTAGATTTACTGGGTTTGCTGGCGTATAAATACACCGACATAAAAAAATACACTCCCGACTCCCTGCAACCCCCACCTCCCTTCCCTTAAAATCCACTAAAAATTCAAAAATATTTTCTTTCTGATTGAAAATATAATGCTTTTATTTGAATACTTGAGATGAAGGAGCTTCATTATCGTTTAAATATTTCCAATCGGAAAAATTATTATTCAACTTTTCCTTCATTTTATGAACAGATACATAAAATCTTGTTTTTAAAAACGTATTTTTTATTTTATTTATTTAAATACAATGTTTCACATTTCACTACAAAGTCGGATTGATCCCTCCAGAAGAAGAAGAAGATTGATAATAACATAACATAGCGTTTTGATGATTGTTTGTAGAATGATGAAGTGATTCAATGTACAACAAGCGCTCAACTTTTACAGCCTGACCGTCCTCCATTATCAAAAATTGTAATTTCACGTTCTAGTCATCTAAAGCACTCATGAGGAGCATCAGTATGAAGTATCACATGCTCCCCCCTTATGTTTAAAGAATTATGATTTTCATGTTGAAGTGTACAATTCCAAATTTCAGCTTGGTAGCTTGACCGATTCAAAAAATAAGTAGGGGGACCTTCCTGAAAAGCACCGTCTTTAGATATCAGCGTTTCCATCTCGCAGACTATTGCCTCGGGTTATGGGATCTATTTCGTCGTTGTGAAATTCTGTTTTCTTAGAATTAATTACGAGGGAGGTTGAGGGGCGATTTGCCGGTGGAAGGTTGGTGTGATTTTTAACAAAAAAAAAACTACTGAGATCTTACTTGGCAAAATGGTTATGATGGTGGAAATTGTATGTGAGCGTTCAAACACAGCCTAGCGTTGGACATATTCTTGAAAAATACTTTAACCAATCAACTGTTTATCAAGATTTATACGAATACAATACACACGCTACCTCACTGTTACCCACTGCAATTAAAATTTCGCTTTCATCCCGCACATTTTCTTAAATCCGTCTATCGTCGACCAATTCGGGCGTATACATTAACGAATTCCCGAACGGACATAAAACGGCCAAAAACGAGCGATAAAGGATGAAACAGGCCTATTCGAAAGATTTTTATATTTATATAGTGCCACTTGTAGTTAATGGCGTGTCACCAAAAACGATAAACTATATCAAAACACATCGCACAATGAGCCGTTGACCCTCGCTTTGCTCTTAATATATCACATCTTGGCTATTGACGTAACGCACTTTAAATCGACCTCTTGTCCTACCCCTTGTTTTAAAACAAGTAATGTGTTTTCCTGGATGGCATTTGTATCATAGCTATCCAAACTGCGAATACTGTAATCTTGGACAAAATAGAAACACATCACCAATTTGATAATATAAAACTATCCAGCATCTTTATGATAGGAGAGGTTTTGGAGATTATCTCCAGCACAAAGAATTAAGTCAATGGTGTAAGGGTAAGTTTTTAGCGTACGGCGACTTTCGTTTGACATTTCTCCAATTTTCAAGAGTATGTGATGTATGATAAATCTGCTAACAGATGCGTAGAATTAACGGGGTTGGCAGCGTATGGATAAACTGCTGACAAAAAACTGTGATATACTCGCCTCCCCCTACAACCCCAACCCCTAATTTAAACCCCTATACAAATGTTTCATAAAATGATCAGAAGCTTCTAAAACGTTAAAACATAAAGTGAGTAATTTTGATTTCGTTTTTGTCATTTTTTGCCCGTAGCTCCGCTTTTTCATCCAAATCCAAGCAATGGTTTCCAAGTTATATACAGGCCAGGGCGAACATACCGATAGACAGACCGACAGAAACGAGCGATATGGCTTTTCGTAATATACATGTCATATAACATCAAAAAATCATGATATTTCACTTTCGAAATTTTTCGCGATTATAATATAGAGACATGGGAATTAAAAGTCTATTTGCCAGATAACTCTGCCAAAATTGTCTCCATTTCAAGTTGCTTTTTAACAACGGCCAAAGCAGTTAAGTTAAGTTCATAAGAGAAACATCTAAAGTTGCACGCCCTTTGGAGTGAATCGATGCGAAGAAAAATGCGAAATTTGCATGCGTCAAACGTGACATTTCGCTTCGTTTCACTTCTCTTCGCTTCCCTTCCTCTCAATGAGCGTCCGCCATAATGTGGTCAAACTGCCTACATTGCATAAAAGTAAGATATCCAAGAAATAAATAGTCCGAATTCTGCAGTAAAATTGTTATGGTAGTCATTATTGAAATGGGTAATAGGGGAGTCAAAACAAGTCAAAAAGTTCATATGACCCATGGTTCAAAAGTCAATAGATTTTTGTCTAAATGGCTTTATAGTTTACAACTTTAAGTGCTTTATATCGACCACAATCACCACAATCTTACTATTTTTTATAATCTAATCTAAAACGTTTTTAAATTGGGTAATTAACAAATAAATGGCATTTAGTTTTACTAAGTTAAGCTAAAATTTGTAGTCAGTAAGTAAGTTTCATTGAATTAAATATTTAAATCACACATGACATCAGCGCGTCGGTCATTCATCACTCTTATCGAACCAGCAATCGATCGAAAACGGTAACAGTGGTTATTTATTGTTCGCGTACGTCGTCGTGTTTATTTACAATGTTCTTGAATCAAGAGTTCGCCGACATGTTGTTAGTTTACGGTGAAGCTCGTCAGAATTCAAATCTTGCAGCTCA